AAAAATTTTTTTTTAGTAGTTTTCTTTAAATAACTCAGCGGGATGACTTTGTACGAAAAAATGCTTAGGACATGATTTTGTTCGTAATAAAAATAGCTACAAAGTGGTGGAGGTCCGATTACGAAATTTGCAATAACAAAGCCGTGAGATTGAAAAAACGGTATAAAACGTCATTTTTTTAAAGTTGCTGTAAAAATGTCAATTATAAACAAAAAGTAATAAAACTTTCTAAAACTATAGTTCAATATACCATATTTCTCTATCGCACGGATTTCTATGAATTTCTTTATTAAGTTATTTAAAGAAAACTACTAAAAAAAATTTTTTTTTTTCAGAATTGAATTGTTAATAACTTTTTTCCTGATAAAATACTTTGTCAGCAAATTAGCCTGTTATTGTACTCATCATTTAAAGTAGGCCTGTGTAGTTATTTCTTCTGGGTTATCAAGGTTTGACACAGGCCGAACCTCTACCAACTGGACTATATTGCTAAAGACTTGTTTCTCTTCTGTGCAGACTGCAAACAACATAAATTGGCATTAGTTTCTCAATGTCTCTAATCTGCATAGTAGATAATTTACCTAGTCTCACGCTGTGTCTGTGAAATAATCCACTTCGTGAAAATGACGAAAATCCGTTGTGATTTCATTAAATCCAGTCTTTGTCGTTGCAGCCTGAAATAATAAATGTCTCTTCTCTTGTCAGAAATGTCTTGAATTAGATTTCCCCTGAGAATGCCTTTTTAATAACAGTGTTAATGATGAAGCTTTGTGTCCGAGATTAAAAAATTTAAACTTATTGTAATAGCAAAATCCACAAAGAAGGTGTCAACTTAAATTTACATTATATAGTATTATTGAATTGTAAAGGGTAGGCCAATTTAGGAATTTGGGGTAGGGTTTCTCGTACTTCTCGAGGAGATAGACAAAAAGTAGTAATTTGTCACAAAAAATAACCGGCGAGTTTTTGGGCTGTTTGGTTGAAAACTTCATATTATAATAATATATTAAAATCCAAGAGGTTTTCAAAAAATATATATTGGACAAAATTTTCTTCTTTAATGAGTTAAATCCCTAATTAAGAGTTTGGCAATTATTTCTAGAACACTCTCTATTCATTAAACAAAACTTTTTCAGTGTCGAATTTAAATAAGGCACTAGTATTGAGATCCAGCTACTATAAACGGAATCAGGAGCAGTTCAGCCCGCTCGACTACCAGATTTAGTACCACTTGACTTTTTCGAAAACCAATTTTAACTTCTGTATATTCTAACACAATTTTGTATCGAAACTTTCCTTAATAAAGCATCAGACGTCTTCGCCGTTGTCACGGTGGACGGCGACAATCAATATCGACTTTCAGTATTCTCCGATGAAGCCGTGCCTCTGTTTGGACCCGGTTTGCCGTGTCCGCCGGTGTTCAGCGATCCGTACCTCTTCAGGGAGTTCCTTTTAGTGAAGCTAATCAACGGCGAGAAGGCGACGTTCGAGACGCCGACCTTCGCCAGGAAACGGGAGAGGACGTTGGAGATGCTCATCAAGGACTTGTATTCGGAGCACATGACAGACGCTAGAATGGTTAGTAGACACTTTTTTATCCTTTTGATGAATTTCTAGTTAGTGGAATATATGTATAAAGGCATCTCTATGTTTCGGCGTTTATTGAGCTGTTTACAGTTCATAGTAAATGAACTGGTATCTTCAGGTAGTCAATAGTCAGGTAGTTTTGGTATTTCCTATTCTGTATAAATCTTTTTTCGAATAGTGTTAAATGATGTACAACTTGACCAAAATCATCTTTCTGCGAGACACCCAAATCAATAAATATTCATTCATAAATAATTATGTGGGCGGAAACGTGGCTTACGTTTCCGCCCAGTTTGAGCAACATTGCACGATTGGCACTGTTAGTTAAAAATCCTTTTATTTTAACGTCATCAATATTATTAATGATTCAGTCACAAGGAACAATGACAAACCGTAGAGTCTACGCTTGAAATATTGCAATCACAGTTTGGTTGAATAGAATGCCTGCAAAACTACACTACCACACCAATCACAAGTCGATGAGGCAGAATGTTGTGTTTTAAAGTAATTTTGGTATTATTGTTTTAATTATTTTTAATTTTACAAAAAAAAAAAAGGGAAACAAATTTACAGTTTTTGCCTTATAGATCAAACCCGGTTTTTCCTATGTATTTTGATGTTTTAAAAAAGATTTTCCGGGTTTTCCACAAATCTTCTTCAAATGCATGCGCGATTTTCAGCAAGTTTTCTGGCATTTTTTGGGTAACTTCATGCCACTCATCAAGACTTGTGTGATATGACGAGAATTCTGATTTTCTAAGTTTTTGACATAACAGATTGCGTATGAAAGGTTGAGTTACAGATTTCTAAGCTATCGGGTATCATCAATTGCCGATTTACTGCCAATATAGACTAGCAGATCAAGCATTCTGCAGTTGATGAAGGAACTCATTGTCTATGGGTTTTTCAAGTTTCTGATGAGTGATCTGATGTCGTTGCATAGATGATCTGTCTGTCAAATGTCAATAGACTGTCAAGTGATGGACCAGCGACTGTCAGTAGACTCTTAATAAATCCTAATAAAATCAATAAATAAATAGATTAAAAGAACCTGCCCATAGGTGAATCTTAGTCCATCTGGATGAATAATGACTGAATTGAAAATCAATCAACATTAATCTAGAGCTCAAGCCGTAAGGCCAGCGACAAGGCATTCACCATCTTGGGGAATAATCTATGTCATAGGCCTACGGAAATGATATCACTGAATAAAAAATTGATGGCGTTGGAAAATAGGAAAACAAGATGTTGACTGTCAAGTGAACCGGAAAGTAGAGATTCACAGACATCCAGTTCCTGAGTACCCTATCTATATTGACAGTCTATTGACAGTCAATCTACAATTGATGATACTTCATAGCTTGGAAAGCTGTACCTCAACTTTTCATACGCAATCTCTTATGTCGAAACCTTTAAAAATCAGAATTCTGTAAATTTCACCCAAGTCTTCAGTGGTACCTAAAAAATACCAGAAACAAAATTACTGGTCACGTGGCTCATAATTTATAAAGGCTCTGTAGTAGGTACCATCTGTGTAAAAATATGTGTGTCGCTTAAGGCTACGCAGTCACATTTTTAATAAAAACAAATCCTTAACGTAATTTTCCGAAAAATTGCTAGCGAGAAATATCACAGTGGACCATAAATCATCGCTGTTGATTTAACAAGTACAACTAGAAGCCTGCTAAATAAAAAAAAAATATTGAAACGAGTTTCCCCAAAAAATTTGGGTTTTTTCAAAGGAACTGCACTCTATGAGCGTAAGAAAAAAAATCAAGTGTTGTGTAGTTATTTTAGACGTTAGAGCAACATTAATTTTATTATTACAGTGTGAAAACTGTACCTACGTATAGAAAGTTTTTACATAATATTGCCATCAAGATTTCTGTATCCCTTCTAACTGTCTTTTCCCGCAGACCATGCTGAACCGCAGGGCCTTTTCCGACGTACTAGCCGAGACACCCAGGCACTCCCGCTTGAAAGAAGACTCCAGACAAATCGAATTCGTTCGTATAGGCCAGGCGCTAAAACTGGAGGCGATCGTGCGAGGCGACGCGCCAACGAGTCTGGCGTCTACAGGCAGCGCCGGCACCGTCTTCAAAAGGTCGCCCTGGGAGGCCAACTGCTTCTACCCCGTGTTCCCCTCCCAGACCATAGTCAGCGCGGATTCCTGGGGCGACAACAGGCTCATCGTGGGGACGGAGGAAGGGGTGTATGTCGTAGAAGGTATGGAGAAAAAGTATATGTTTTCTATTCAAGCTTAGTAATTTTTCTGTAGGTGTGGATCCAACTGCGCTCGTGAACAGTTTGGGACTGTTCAATAGATCACTCGAACGCGAACATTTTGATATGCACAAAAAATAATTTGTTTGTTTAATGTTATTAATTGACAGGAGTAGGTATTCCGCGTTTATCAGTAATAAATATGTCATTGTATCACACGGATCAAATTCGTGCTTGCGGTGCCCACATTGTACAAAACATTATCTAAACGCCAGAAAAGTTATTCAGGGAACTAACAAAGGTGTCTTTTTCAAAGCAGGCCAGAGGGCGCAAGCAGATTTAAACGTATAATGTCGAATATCAACATGATTTTCCAAAAAAATTATATTTTCCCATAAACATCATAACAGCGTACTAACTCTTCGCCAAATGTTTGCTGCTCGATACGCAGTTTTACGAGCGATATCGCACTCTGTTAGAGGTCTTTGGTTAGAGGTTTCATTGGAAGTGCTTTTTTTAATAGAGTTTTTTAATAACCAAGGTACCTAGTTACTTTTGAAAGAATTACATGCTTTAATACCTGTCTTTACCTAAGTACTCATCATGAGCTATCATCTGTTATATGTGTTAGGAGACTAATAATGTACTTGTTGGTATTTATTATTAAAACTTTGCAAAGGCGTACTGGTTGAAGTTCTATCCCATCCAGGGAGGTGTTTATTTACGGTTTATCTAGTACGAAAAGCCCGAGATACTAAGCCATACTGTATATTAAAAACAGAGAAAGAAATTGCTGGCGATATACTTTATGAGTACACGACAAATTTCACACTTTGTCCTCCTGACTATATACACTCACCGATCCAGGTGACAAAACCTGACTCGGCGGAACACAGCGTCTTGGCTGCATAATAACTGGAATGGATATTATATGATAGCATTAGTCTTTGTTCATTGTTGATACTTGTTAAGAGAATGACATTTTACAACTTGTTTCTGATGTTACAGTTGCTTCTACAATTCACGTTAGTTGTTTGTCTCCCATTTCCAATCAGTTCAGCCTATGACATCAGAAGTGGGATGATCGCCTCACAAAGTAAAATGTTTCATAAGCATTCAGCTAATTGCGAATAAATTTTTATGCACTGTTGCCAGTTCCCGGGGAATTTCCCATATTGTAAGGAATTTATAGATAAAATTGTAAAAAATGGGGAAAATGGAAAAATATCTGTCAATACGGGGAAAGTTTTTATATAATTATTTTTGCGACAGAATATCTAAGAGTCTTGATTATTTATTATTTGAATATGTATGACATTTTAATTTCAGGCCATATTTCTTGTTTATAAAGTTCTTATCTTCTTATCCATGTTCTGTTAATTCATGGTTATGTTTTGTGGTTAAAAAAAATGGATGATTATAATAATGCTGATAAATAACTGATAATGATGATCGGTAAATATATTATTAATAATAAAGAATTCAATGTTTCAAAAAAATTTAGAGAAGGAGAAAAATGTATTAAATAAATGTATAGAAAAAAAATAAGTGTTTCAACAGAAGATAAGATATTTTTTTCTTAAATTCTATTTTCATTGTCATCATATGTTTTTTTTTAATAAAGCACAAACAGAAAACCTGATTACCACTAAACTGTCATACAATTTATTGGTTATTTGACAATTATATAAATAAGTGACATAAACCTACTAGATAATATTGCATATTGTATCAATTACGAATGTAAGCATTAGGGCAACTCGAATGCAGTAACTGCATCTGAACTGCATCATGTTGAACAGTGTTCTTTATAAATACTGCTATACAGAACTTCAAGTAAAAGTCAACGAAACTGTATTTAAAAATATATGGTGTTCAAAAATAATGGGATATCTCAAAAAATACTAATGTTGACGAAAAAGTGTATATGACAAAAAACGTTGAAAAAATACTTTACTTTTAGATAGTTATATTTTTAAAGTTCCTGTAATGAAAACATATTTTCTCGGCGTCCCGACGCCGGCGACGTCCATCCCAATGGCATTATTTCTACACAAAAATAAAATCACTCTGTATATTTAACAAATAGAACTCGCAGAACGTATATATCTTCATTTGTTTCCAAGTAATTAGCCCGCGGAGTTTTAGCTGAATCACCCGGTATATGTGGGCCCCATAAACAGTTTTTTTATTCAAGAAATAAAATGTGAAATTGTATTTATTATTTATTGTATAGATAATATACAGAATATAACTAAAACACTTAACCAAGTTTTAATAACTTAATAACTCAGTAATTTTATAGATTTTACTAATAATAAGTTTTCCTATACATATGTTTTCGATATATGTAGAGTATGTCCTTGGACTGAGTTTACAAGAGGACAAATTGTCTAGTAAGTGAAAGATACGAAAAAAAGGCATTCTTGATAAAAGTTTTTGCTTGTTTAGAAAATACGAATCATCATGATGAACTTCAATTTTGTTCTACAGGGTGGGTCAAAAACATAAAAATGTTATTTTGAATAAGAGTAAACATACCTTATTTTGCAAGATACGAAAAAAAGGCATTCTTGATAAAAGTTTTTGTTTGAAAAATGAATAAGAGTCACGTTATCAAAAATTTAATTAAGTATTCTCTAGCACATCTCTAACCAGAGTACCTAGAAATGCTCGATGTAATTTTTAACGATGAACTCGGAAATTTACCATTAAATTTTCGCCAAAAAATGTATTTTCAACAGGATGGTTGTTCATTCTGCTCGTGAGGTATCAGAGTGGTTTAACCATAGATTTGGTCTAAGATGGATTGGTAGAAATGGTTCAATTTTGTGGCCCCCAACGAGCTCTGACTAAACCATGGCTGATATGTTTCTATGGGGCAGTTTAAATCAAATTGTTTATGCTACTCCAGTACCAAATAATATTGAAATGCTAAAAGGTAGAATTACCCAGGCTGTCCGTTATATATCCCAGGAAATCAGAAATTCCTTCAGATATCTAAAGAAGCAATTAGAAAAATGTATTCAATATGGGGATGGCGTTTTTAAATTTGATATCTTCATCATATTGCTTTGTTTACTTTTTTTAGCTTAATTGGTGTAATTATGTTCGCATTATTTAAAAATTACACTTGAATAAAACGTATTTTAGTTTTGTACTTTGTATAAAAAATTAAATTTTTGATGACGTGATTCTTATTCATTTTTCAAGCAAAAACTTTGATCAAGAATTCCTTTTTCTCGTATCTTGCAAAATAAGGTATGTTTACCCTTACGCAAAATAACGTTTTTGTGTTTTTGACCCCCTCTATACAACAAAATTGAAGTTCGTCATGGTGATTTGCATTTTCTAAACAAGCAAAAACTTTTATCAAGAATCCTTTTTTTCGTATCTTTCACTTTTTGGTCCATTTGCCCTCTTGTAAACTCAATCCGCGTACAAAAAAATGGTGTAAAATTTTTCATTATCAAATTCCATTTTATTACGAAAATAATATACATTACTGCAGGTAGATAATTTCATAGCAATAACCTAAGGATCCGAGCAGTAATAAAAACCCAATTTTACGTTCCAGACGGTAGCTCCCACCGCATGATCTTCGACAAGAGCCTACAGGTGCGCCAGCTGAACGTAGTGGAGCCCCACGGAATTCTCCTGTTGCGCGGCGGTCATTCCAACAAGGAAGGCAAGATCTACGTGTTCAGATTGTCCCAGATCGAGTCCCTGGGCGATACCCGGTCCCGCCTGGACGTCAAGGACCACCGCATGGAGCGCACCAGAGGAACGAATCTCTACGCCATCTCCAGACCTGGTAAGAGACGTGAATAATGGATGAGGGTGGGAAACAGTATTAACGAAATTGGAAAAAGGGACCAATGAAGGTGAATTATGTATTAAGTGCGTTGTTTTGGGCTTGGGAATGTATGTAAATTTGTACTAGATTTGTGTGAATTTTACACCCGCATATATATCTTCAAGGATTTATGTACAGAAAACAGCCAGTTCCTTGTATTTATCTATACCATTTACTTATGCAACAGTGTTAAGTACCCATTTACAGAACAAATAATGCAATAACATTATTTAAAAGTACCAAGAATGTACCGCTATTTAACTTTAGCAAACAGAAAATATCTTGAACAATATTCAAAATTGATAAAATTTAAATGAGTGTTCCGAAATTAGGAGGAAATATTTCCACAGGGTATTCTACGTCGAAAAATATTACTTTTTCTTTATATAAACGTGGGTCCAAAAATTCTTCCTAAGGAAGTTATAGCCACTTACCTAAAGGGGCCACTCTGATTATGTGTTTTTTTAAATAACTCCGAAACAAATTGAGATAAATTTATGAAATGGTAACTAGCTTAACTCTTATATGTTCAGTCGGCTACTAAAACGAAATTTTCATCACATCCGTTCCAACACTGGGGGGAGGGAGATACAATTTACCATAACTTTTTTATGCTTTGACTTTTATGACTTTTTATTGAAAAGTATAAAATTTCAGAGCTTTTACTAAAAATAGATACTCTAGGTCAAGGGTCAGCAACTGGCGGACCGCGGTCCAGATCCGGACCGCGGAAAGTAAAATAATGGACTCCCAAAAATTTTTTGATAGTTTAAATTACTCAATAAAATTATTTAAAAAATAGTTTTCTATTGATAATAATACGTTTGAATGCCACCCTTATCATTTCTACTACAATTGCGTGATTGATTTGAGTTCTTAACGGTTAGTAGGTAGATTAAAGAGTAACCGCAAAAAAACCCATTTTTTCGCCCGTTTTTGCGTAGTGTGTAGCAAGAACGAGGAAGGTCGTCCAGAGGTCTCCGTGATCGTCATGAAAAATGTAGGTGAACATAATTCGATTTTTCCAATATTTGGCCGACTTACCCCTACTTAAGGGGTGGAAACCATCCCTAAAACAAGAAACGTGAGAAAATGGTCGATCAATTCTTGGTAAAAATTGACGGGAATTTGAATGACAAGGAAGAGATCAGGGATGTTCTTCCAAATATGCTCAAGGTGAAAAACATCCCCCGCGTGGGGGTAAAACCACCCCTATTGCCGAAAACCGGCGGCAAATGATGTTCCCTTCATGAATTTCCTTTTTTGTGCCACCCTTCCTTATAAATCCAAATGATATGAAATACATGCCCCCAATAATTCGTTCTTCTGTCGGATTCTGATCAGTTACCCCTATTGAAGGGGTGGAAACCACCCGTAAAACAAGAAAACAGAAAAAATGGTCACCAAAATCTGGGTAAAAATTGGCGGAATTCCACATGGCAAGGGTAACATCAAGAATGCCCTCCTAAAAATGCTCAAGGTGAAAAACACCCCCCGCGTGGGGGTAAAACCAACCCTATTGCCGATAGCAGACGGGGAATGATATCCACTTCATGAAGTACTTTGTTTCCCCCACTACCCGGCAAATGATACGAAAGACGGGCCCCATAATTCGATCTTTTGTTTTACCCCCACGCGGAGGATGGGTTTATCATGAGCATTTTTAGAATGACATTCCTGATTTTACCCTTGCCATGTGAAATTCCCCCAATTTTACCAAGAATTTATCGACTATTTTCTCATGTTTCTTGTTTTAGAGGTGGTTTCCACCCCTTAAGTAGGGGTAAGTCGGGCAAATATTGGAAAAATCGAATTATGTTCACCTAGATTTTTCATGACGATCAATTTAAGCCCACGGAGACCTCTGTACAACCTTCCCCGTTCTTGCTACACACTACGCAAAAACGGGTGGATTTTGTGGTCACTCTTTGTGGGTGCAAATTAAAATAAAAAATTAGTAAGGAATGCGAGTTTTTTTTGTGGACTTCGTTAAAAATTTTCAAAAGTATCCGGACCCCACCAAAAACTACTTGCAGACCCCTGCTCTAGGTCCATATTGGTAGAATGTTCCATTTGTATGTAAAGCCCGTTTGAAAATAATGTTACATGTGTTAATCACCGGGAATTGAAATTGTCAATATTTTCTATCGTAGCGAAAAACAAAAACGCGTTTGGCGTCATTTGCATTGACAGTTCAGTTATTTACTTTTTGCGAATTATTTTCACAGAAATGTAGTAATAAAAAAAAATAAATGGAAACCACACTATTAATAAAACTTATCTTTATCTCAATAGTAATTTTTTATAGCAAATGCTCAAAAAGATTTCAACTTTACTGAATACATTTTTAGCTCGACGTCGAATTGCCCGCGAAGACCTCAAAACTTCAAAATTGTTTTGTCTGACCATCTTACGAAATAGTTGTACATCTTTATGATCTCCACGTTAGAAAATTTCCGAAAATTACGAATTACAAAACCCAAATTTTTATTAACCTTGGGAATTATTTTAATTATATGAAACGGGAAATTCTACTCTAGGTCAAAATAAACCCCTGAATCGTTAATAAAATTAGGTTTATCAAGAAGTATATTATTTATAATATATTGATGATGAAAATTGATCTTTTTGCGAGAAAAAGTGAAAGCTTTGCATTTGTCAATATTCAGTGGCAACCCATTCATACCAAAGGTTAAGTCTATCAAGGTTTTCCTGTAGATTAACGCAATCCAGAAAATTGTTTTGAAATTGTTTATACTTAAATGATATAAAACACACCATTTTACTGTTCTATTTAACGTATTCTGAAGAAGATGAACACATTTAATACAGAAGAAAAAATGTTAAAGTCGCCTTGTGTGATATGGAAAGATGTAAATAGAAAAGAGAAGAGGATTTAAATTAGAACATAGACAGAAGTGATAACATAAAAAGTTCTGAAAAGTTTTATATATATATACATATCGGGTGTCCCGAAATTCATGCAATAAATTCATAAATTCTTAAGACAAATTTAGGGTACCCGTATTTTTTCTTTTTGCCAACTGGCCCCCTCTTTCTGAGTTACAGCCCCCTGAAATCTGCCCCTAAGAAGTCTTTTTTATATCTCAAAACCATGTTGTACGAGAATCACTAAATTTGGTACACATGAGTTTTATGACATGTGGAATCTCACAGTGCTACGCTTTTTCGCGAGAAAGCCCCTTAAGACACTTTTTCGTGAAACCAGAAAAATTTGGTCGCAAATTTGATTTTTCTTTAAATTATTAGTTAGCTAGAAAGTCATTGAATTTAGAAACTTTTTTGTCTCTTGGTATTTGTTTCGTGAAACGCAATGTTTTTGAGGAAAATGGCGATTCACGATCACGATTCGATCACATTTTGACATTTTTCTCGAAAATATTTCGTTTTACGAAAAAAAGTATAAAGAGACAAAAAGTTTCTAAATTTAATGGCTTTCTAGTGGACTGATAATTTTTAAGAAATTTAAACATACGACCAAATTTTTTTGACTCCACACAAGGGGGCCACGAAAAATTGCCTTAAGGGGGTTCCCCGCCAAAAAACGTAGCACCATCAGATTCCACATGTCATAAAATCCTTGTGAACCAAATTTAGTGATTCTTGTACAACAGAGATATAAAAAAAAAGATTATTCTTAGAGGCGGACTTCAGGGGGCTGTAACTCCGAAAGAGGGGACCACAATAAAAAATACGGGTTCCCTAAATTTGTCCTAAGAATCTGTGACCAAATTTTGTTGCATGAATTTCGGGACACCCTGTATATGCTTCGGCAAATATAGATTCAAAAGCTTTAGCAAGTTGTCACGGAACCCTAAGGCCTCAAATTTATGTAAAAGTATTAGTGTTACATTCGGTCAAAAGCTATCGAAAGGTCGGTATATATTACATCCACCTAACTGGATCAATTTATAGTAGTTAATTTAGTAGTTAAGCCATGCAGTTCACGTGATATAATAAATTTAAAGACGATAAACGCAAATTCGTAATGATATTTCAAATATGTTTATAAAATTACAGAGTAGTGTATTTATAAACTTTTACATCACGGATCACCATTTTTGATCTTTTTTCTAAATACTAGGAAAAATTCAGCAGTCTTTAGTAAGGAAATTAGATATTCCTTCTTTTTATTTTAATAATCGAAATAGTATTTTCTTATATCTTGACTATATCAACGGTATTTCCTTAGGAGGAGCTCGATTAAGAATGTGCGTTGCAGTTGGAAGAAAACTGCTGATGTTCCAGTGGAAACATTCTGCAGCTTGGACGGCCTGGTGTCCAGCTAGTGACACAGACACCATTGAAGGATTTACATTTCTTTGGGTAAGTATCATTACTTATTAGATCAAACTGAAACTACTTCAGTCACCATTTGACTCTGTATCAAACAAAAACCTAACTTACGAGAACCATTTTGAATAATTGACTGTGACTGTATTTTAAGGAACTAAATCTGAACGAATCTCCATCGATGTTGACGATACTCGACAGTGGCTGGAGTCCGCATTCTCCATCACAAGGCGACGTGTTAGTATGCGTTGGTTACAAGAACCACTGGGATATCGTGAACGGTCGCACCGGCTACTCACAGCATCTACACACAGTCGAGAGTACGAAGGCTCATCTTGTGACAGCCCTCGACCTCTACGAGGACCAGGAAATTCAGTTACTCTTGTGTTACAACCGTAAGTATTTAAATGTATTGATAGACATTGCAAGATCCAAGATGTGTGTATATTAAGTAAACTGTTGTGACTCATCTGACACCTCTTCTTTTTTTGTAATCCTGTTATATTTCTGTTGTATTTTCAACTAAGTTTGCTGCTATTTTTCATATGCATTTTTATAATTACATATTTTGTACAAATTCCGTTTTTTTTTCTTTCAGACACTTGCCATTTTCAGAAAATAAACGAAGAAAACTCATCGTCATCCAATTTTGACTTTCATTGGAACTCAGTGCCTACAGATATAGGTAAAACATTTTTAAATTGTTAAATTTTACAAGTTTGGAAATAACAATTTTATCATACCTAAATATCCATTTTTTAATTTGTTCAAACTATTTATACATTTATAGATTAGTTACATAATAAACAATTTCCAATGAGTGAATACTCTTTAAATTACTAATGGACAAATTTCCTACAACATTAATTTATATTTAATTCAATAGCTGGGCAAATAATAATAAAATAAAATAAAATCGGAAATTCGTTTAATTTGGAATAATCGAGGTGGATTACATGGATAATTATCGACCATTAATATTATCCTGTGTTTTTAATTGTCTCCTGAAAGGCATTAATTTTAACATAAATGTGAATATACGTTTCAGCAATTTCATACTTTAGAAAAGTTATTTATTTACTTGTTTGAACAAATCCATTTTTGCTTTGTGAATGTCTCTTTTCTGTTATTTCTTTCGAAGGCGTTCTTTAGATTAGGTTCCGTCATGTCAGCATTGGAATTTTAGACTAAATGGCAAATGGCTGAGAAACAAGTTGTGTTCTCAGTCGCACTGAATGACGTCACAACGCCTTCTTGATCACGTGACAAAGTTCTAAAAAAATTAAATTCTCATACAAGTTGGTGACTCCAAAGAAATGCAACTGAAATCCTACCAGGAATCCGAAAATAATTTTACCGGAATAGGCCCATTCAGTAAAATTTTTTTATTGCATATTTCAAAAGTTTACCCTTTAGTTAGTTAGTATGCCAAAAATAAATTTTTTGTTTCAACGAGAAATGTGTGAAACAAATTAATGAAAACAGAGCGCGGAAAAACGTTGAGCAACCATTGCCTGACGTCATAATAGAGCACTCCGCTCACGCTCGCTCTCTTCCCATTCTGTGTTAATACATACGATATGTGGATCGATTCGCAGTTTCGTTAATTATTGTTTTTATGTCTAAATGGGTCGAAACCGAGGATTGTACAAATATTGTATAGTTCCAGGCTGCAAAAGTACCTCAGGATCGACTCCGAATAAAATATTTATTTCATTACCGAAAAATGAAAAGTTTGTGTGATGTTATCCACGGTTTCCCCAGCCACGGTATGCAACTCAAAACCACCTTCGTTTTTCTTTGGATGCACGTCTAGGGGGTTGTAAAATATTATTATTTGAACATTTAGAGCACAATTCTCAACTTTATGCCGGAAATAAATTCTGCCCCATCTAAATGTTCGTGTTCACAAAAAATTCGAAATACGACGGCGACAGGGACCTATAAGCAGTTAAGAACCACTCTAGTTTTTCTTTGGTTTTCCATCTAGAGGGTTTTAAATATTATTATTTGAACATTTAGAGCAGAATTATAAAATTTATGCTGGAAAAAATTTCTGCCCCATCTAAACGTACCCGTTCACAAAAATTTCGAAATACGTCGGCGAGAGGGACCTATAAGCAACTCAGAACCACCCTCGTTTTTCTTTGGTTGCCCGTCTAAGAGGTTATAAATATTATTATTTAAACATTTAGAGCAGAATTTTCAAATTTATGTCGAAAAAATAAATTCTACCCCATCTAAACGTTCCCGTCCACAAAAATTTCGAAATACGTTGCGAGAGGCACCTATAAGCAATTTATTTAAATAATAATATTTTACAACCCCCTAGACGGACAACCAAAGAAAAACGAGGGTGGTTCTGAGTTGCTCGCACATACACGTCGTCGCATACATCCACAAGTACCGAGTCTAGTACGTTGGATACATTTGTACACAAAATGGAAGGCAAAAGAAAATGTAGAAAAGCCAACCATTTACTTCATTGAGAAAAATCCGAAAATGTATTTAGATATTCCAAGACATTCTATGTTTATAATAAATATGTTTTGTGAAAAACGTATTTCAACAAGACTTGATGTATATCTCTTATACACTCTCTATTTATACACTTAAAAATACAGGTGGCAAATATCTACACATCTCTCCGTCTGCTCGCGACTTGATCGCCGAGTGGCCGGTATTGTGACGTCATTAGCTGTTCTCTCGCAGCGTTGACCTTTTTAAGGATCTTACAAATTCAGAATTAAATATATCACTTATTATTAATCCTATTGACCTAATTTTTTTAAGATATAATTAGGTGGTTAAATACTATCAAAAAATGAAAGAAAAAGTTTAAAACTAATTATCACTGAATGGGCCTATTGAATTGCACCTTTATTTTCAGTTTGTGCTTTTCCCTACGTGATCGCCTTCACCTCGAATTCCATGGAAATCAGACTCATCGTGAACGGGAACCTCATCCACACCATGACGATGCCGAAGCTGCAACTAATCGCCTCCAAGAATGACATCTTCTTTGCCACGACGGCCCCTGAATTTTTCCCAAATAAGACAGACAGGCTCTTCGTCGACATTAGGCAGCAAGACCTGCAGAAGCATTCTCCACCATCTAGTCCAAATGGTAAGATAAACATACTCTTTTGAAGTGATACCAATATTAAACTATTACCTTTCTAAAACTGACGAGTCGAGTTAAACAATTAAAACCTTAAAAACGTTGTTAAACAAAATTTATGAAACAGTCAACCTCAAATTTTGGCAATATGTTGCCACGCGTTGTCGTGTTTCGAAATAATACAATTGCTCAGAGGTTAGCGCCATTTGGTTGTAATGGAAGGTTTGGTTTGGTTCTGAAGTAATAATTCAAAATTATCCCTTGTGCAACTCAAGAAATGGTAGGTAAGCATAACTTTTCTTGCTGAAATCTCTGTTCAAAATTTTTTAGATGTGATGCATTGCCAAAATTTTTTAGAGGTGATGCATTACTAGTCCTTTTAGGTTCCAGATGATGATGGTGCATCAAGGACTCATCACCAGCTATAATCTCTGTAAAATCTCTGTTTTGTTCTTCGCAAAACTTGTTCACATGCATCAATCTTCGTTATTTCAATTCTACCTTCTTCTCTTGTGTCATGGAAAAGTCATATTATCTCTACTGATATAAGATTCTTTCTATAGTGAGAAAGACTAAATGTGTAGTTAAAACGTTGGAAAATTTTACAAAAAATAAAGTTTTTGTTCTAAACCCACAATTACCCACAAAATGAACAATACTAAAGAAATATTGAAGAAGTAATACTACTTTCAAGATCCAAAAGAAATCTGCCATCTTTTTTACATTCCATGGTCTTTGATATGTACGACCTCTTTTTCTATATCTTGATGGAAACTTTAGCTCTACCCTTTGCTGTTAACTCCTAAAGTTTTTAGAAATTGATATGGAAATGCAGAAAGTTCATCAAGCACCCAATTCTACTGAAGTTTTCAACCATTTCAGAAACTAGCTTTTTGTAGTCTCTACTATCGTGGTTCTCTAAGAAATTTTCAAGAGCTTCCTGAAAGTTTAGCCGACTTATCTTCTGTTTTTCAATAATTGTTGGATTAAAGAATTGGCTTTTCAACATTTTTCTAATTTACGGCCCGTTAGAAGCATCTTCCTTCAATTTTGAAACTGTTTTCCTGAAACAATTTTTGGATTTGGACATAGAAAAAAATATATGAAATATAAACTGTTTGAATTCACTAATGTCATATATGATTCATCGTTATAGAAAAGCGATGGATGAATCGCCCAGGAGTACCATTGTTAAAGTTTTTGTGTCCATGTTAGTCTAATCCACTGAACCAAGAGAAATTAAAACTAAATTCGAGACAAATAAAAGAAGAATACATTTCAACAAGGTTTTCAGTAATTGCTATATTTCTAACTCAAAATAATATGGAATATAAAAAAAATTCGATGTAAGAAATAACCAAGACCTTATTAGTGAAAATTTACTTTAGGCCTCAAGATTTATTATCAAAATATAACCACTTTAGTTTTCACCAACCACCACTACTGTTATTTATGAAGAAATGAGGAAATGATATATATCCGAATTTCCTTTAACTAAATTATAGCTAAAACAAAATTCCGCATTTGCAGCTTGTGGTATACTAATTGCCAGGATTCATGCGACGAAAACTAACTGGTCCGTTTTCCATTTCCGAATACTAAACCAAACTACAATAGAGTTAACGCTTCGCGGAGCTGCTCCGTCTGTTAAATCAATTTTCTGTATCCTGGACGAGCGTGTAATTGGTACCTATCGCATTAAATGGATATGAGCGTGCATGCATTATTTCGACGTACATGAATATTTGTTCTAGTAATATTCAGCAGAATCGTTTGCAGGTCGAAATAACAGGGCCTGCTTTCATCCGAACTATAACTAAGAATAGAAATTATATTCCCGTTTCGTCTAACAAAGTACCACAGTATTTGTGTAGATGTCGGTACACAAACTACTACGTTTTTAATAAAAAAAAATGTACTGGCATTTGATTCGGAATATGAGAGAATTTTTATTATTACGAAGACGAACTGATCACCCTATGCACGTATATAAGCATATGACCGCTTTAAAAGCAGACAGTGCATTTTATATTTTATAATCCATATTAGAATTAGGTATACCAAATGTCCAACAAATTCGCAAATTTTCGTAAAAATATTTTAAATAATTCTATTCCTAGACTAAATAAATGAACAAAATATCAATAAAACTGAGTTTGTTATTAAAAGACAATGAAAGATACAAAATGGTAGATATTTATACATTAATTACTTATAAAAAAATTTATTATCACTATTTTTGCCCGACACCGTGAAAAATTTGATTTTGTTTGCAATGTTTTAAAAACATACGGTGGAGTAAAAACACGTCCATTTTCTGCTCTTTGTAATACAAAATGTAAGCAACCCCAAATGCTCGATTTTTAATCTTAATAAATAATATAACAAACAAATATAATGTGTACAAAGATATCAAAATAGTGATATTTCTATACATTATACATAGCAAACTGATCCAAAAATATTCATACTAGCAAGATGTATAGAAGAAGTTTCCTATGATTTTTATACGAAAATAATAGGCAATGACTCATTTTCAATATGTTGATCTTTGCGACAGGTACAGTAAATACGATTCCATAGGCGTATCTTTTATAGAGGGTTCTAAAAATTGTTATACAGGGTGGTCCCGAGATAATGGGCCAAAATTCATGGGTGGATTCCCTAAGTAAAAATATTACGATTTAGCCGAACTTACCTTAGTCCAAAAGTTGATAGTTAAAGAGATACAAGGTGTTAAATGTAAAATATTATTTCAGTTTTTTTTTAATTTATAAAAATATTATCTTTACAAAATTTTGGAGATTGGAGTTCTTTGTGTAGAGGAATTGAAATCTGTTCACATTTTGGTTAAAGTTCATAAAGGGCGCTAGCTGCAGTAGATTGAATACGTTAAAAACGACATAACTTTTTTGTACTTTAAGGTATCTCATCTTTGGTAACAAATTCTTATTTTTCAACTTTTTTTGCACAAAAAAGGTATACTTTATTAAAGTAGCTATCTCGCACCGTTTTCGAGATATTTGGCTTTGAAACTTACAGTGCTGTTGCATTAAATTACAATTAAGTACCTACAGGTATTATTAATTTAGCGATAAAGTTTCTTAAGTAAGATTTGGACGAAAATTAAATAATTGACGTTTTCTACCTGTCTTATTGCTGTCATTTGTATGCTAATTTCTATTAAGTATTATTCGTATCTGATTAAAATTACATCTTAGCTTACAAATTAAAATGTATACTCGTATACATAAATGTGGGATAGAATGCCGAGATTTTCGTTTTTGGAGTTACATGAAATCAGTTGTTTATGGAGAAACTATAAACACTTGAGAAGAACTTTAGTAGCAGGATTTAAATGCTGCAAAGTCAAATAAGACAATCTTTTAATAAACGTGTTGATAAATGTATTGAAGTTAGAGGTGGACATTTTGAGCAATTGTTGTCAAAAAGGCATATGTTTTACTAATGTTTACTATTTTACTGTTTATTATAATTTTTAATTCTAAATAAATACTTGTTTTTGACATTTCTAAATTATTTTAATTATTTCAACTATTAGCATTGGAAGTTTCAAAGCCAAATGTCTCGGAAACGGTGCGAGATAGCTACTTTCATAAAGTCTACCTTTTTTGTGTAAAAAAAGTTGGAAAATAAGAATTTGATACCAAAGATGAGATACCTTTAAGTACAAAAAGTTATGTCGTTTCCAACACCTTCAATGTACGGCAGCTGGCGCCCTCTATGAACTATAACCAAAATGTGAACAAATTTCAATTCCTCTATCCAAAGAACCCCAAACCCCAAAATTTTGTGTAGATATTTGCATTTATTAAGAAATAAATGGAAATAAACTAAAATAATATTTTACATTTAACACCCTGTATCTCTTTAACTATCAACTTTTGGACTAAGGTAAGTTCGGCTAAATCGCAATATTTTTGTTTCGGGAATTTACCCATGAATTTTGGCCCATTACCTCGGGACCACCCTGTATATGGAAGAAACTGATATGTCGATTTTGGTAAAACTATATCTTTACAAATTTACACTCATCTTAATATATACCTGTATCCAACAAGTAGGTAGGTACTTTTCTTATGTATTGCTACTACAAATAAGTATGTATTCAGCAATTGCCCTTTTAGATAGTCATTGTCACTAACACTATCGCTGCTGACTGACAGCTATTATATCTAATTTCAATACTCTTGAGGTCCACATTCGTTGTTTTTTTATACGTTCATAATATACAGGGTGTAAGAAGTTTGACTGCCATTACTTCAGCATGAGATAGAGTAATCATAAATAAACAAAAAAGTTGTATATTACAGGGGCGTAACATTAACAGTTTTCGAATTATAGCGAGTATTAATATTGGAAGTAGAAGCGTATAACTTAATGTTACACACCTGATGCTACACCACGTGCGCACGCGGCATACTTATCCTAGACTAGAATAACAAAAATGTAAACAACTATTATTGTNTTACAGGGGCGTAACATTAACAGTTTTCGAATTATAGCGAGTATTAATATTGGAAGTAGAAGCGTATAACTTAATGTTACACACCTGATGCTACACCACGTGCGCACGCGGCATACTTATCCTAGACTAGAATAACAAAAATGTAAACAACTATTATTGTGAAACATTTGGTAAATTTCAAGACAACTGTTTTCCAGTTTTTAAATAAATAAAATAAAATGTATCGATTTTATAGTACGAAGATAGTGTTGTGCTTAAATTTTAGCTCGAATTTTAGTAATTATGAATCTCTTAAAATAGGAACTTAACTTTTAATCAAATTATGTAATTACAGTACCTACTCACGTAGGTACGTCAGGTACGTAAGATTTACGTCGTCCATATAATCATACGTATCAAAAATAATTTAGGTACTTACAAAGAGCAAAATTCAGTAATTTTTAAACGCACAAAAACAAAACAAACTGCAACATATACTCAAAATGTCCACCACCATTTTCGATGCACGCACGACACCTTCGAATCCAATTTTCGCCCTCACTGGAAAATTATCATGTATGTTAAACATTTTAAAAAAGCAAGGAGAAACATCTCAGAAAAAGGAAATAGTGGTACGCAAAAAACACTCCATCACGGTCAAATTCCAGATACCAACTGAATTGGGTATTGCTGGTCGTTGGACTGCTTAGTACCTCGAGTTACAAGTTGGAGATTTTGATAAGTTTTTCTCGGAAATGGTTGAGTTTAGGACCCACGCACAGTGGTCGGAATTCCGAAAAAGCTGGACAAAAGTCGAAATTTCAAAGTCGTTGGTTTGCGTTAATACTTCAGAGTATTCTAGAGAAGGAGTCACTGCGTAGTTCTTTAAAGTGACAGAGAGCTGTCCCATGTGTATAGACCACAGCAACTATCGGAAGTATGCTGCGACACATTAGCATATTTCACTTGCCACTGACCCCTCGAAAAGCGGTGAATTGAAAATACGTGCAAATTTTTACTAGAGTACGAATCGTTGTGTGCAATAGAGAGGGTGTTTCTAGAGTTAAGTAAAATACATTTGCTCATTTAGTACCTCATTTTCGAAAGTTGCATGTTTTTATTGCTTTAACAAAAACGTCTTGCAATTTCCATCGATTTCAAATCACATCAATCGTAAATTATCGAAATAGTTGTGATCCCAAGAGATCCTGCACTATTAAAAGTTGGAAAATGCGGACAGGAGTGTCAATTTCATATATCAAAAGAGAAAACCAACGGATTTTTCCGGATTGGTCATTTTTTGTGCCTCCGTGTACGACCGATTTACTATTGTAAGAGGCCTTAGTTATACAATAGCTAGCGTTTTAGTGTATCTTCGCGTTCCAAACGAGCGTTTCTAATTCAAATTGTTTTTTTTATGAACATGCACCTTTTTCGTGTGCCATTTATCATATTTTTACAAGCTTTTATTTAACTTGCCTTGTTAGTATAGGTCACATTTTGCAACTGAATTTTAAAACAATTTCCCCAACCGATTGAGCTGAAATTTTGCGTACACGTTTAGTTTGGATGACAATGCATGTTTAGCTAAGTGACGTCATTCTAAATCCAATATGGCGGACTCCCAAAAATGGCGGACCAGTTATTTTTTATGCACCCCCATGATATGGGTATCAAATGAAAGGGTTTGCTGAGAAGAGTACGAAAACAAAATGAAGAAAATTATAGATGAACTTATTATCTATGATATTTTAATTCATAATTTATCATTTTCGACAGGATCAGGCACCAGTAAAATTACGTGAATGAAAAAATAAATTTTTGATTTTTGAAAGGAAAATTCCAAGAGAATTTAGAAACGCAAATCATCATTTTAGATCAACCTTTTTTAAAAAGGTGCAAGATATATGAAAATGAGAAAAGCTTTTCAACCGAAGCTGTAGTGATAATATTTTCATGCTCTGATGTTTGTTTATTTTAATGTATTCTATCGTATGTTAAAATTAAGGCAGTCAAACTTCTAACACCTTGTATTTATTCCATGTCTCCAGAGTTACCTAAAAAAGTACTATTACATCTCTTAAAATAAAAGTTGTTATTTCAAGTCACATAAGTTTTTATTCAATCACATTAGTTGAATATGGTTAAGCTTACAGTGATATGACAGCAGTCTAAATAGTGTGAGTTTTAGCTATTTCATCAGTAGATGTATGTATAGTAATACATTTATGTTTTTGGCCTTTTCTTTTTATGCAATTTCTAATAACTGAACTTTGAACAACGTTTACGCTTTATATTCAATGTTTTCCAATGAACCATTTCTTCTTTTATTTTCTCCATGCAGATGTTGGCAAGTTTTTCTATTCGTCCTTTATGGTAAGGCGTATTGTCAATGTCAATCACCGTACCAAGTTCGATGTGAGGTAAAATAGATGCAAACTATTTTTCAAATATCTCATTGTCTATTTATAATCATGGAAATGCCTAGTTTGTCGCGAATCAATCACATGTAAACCGTTATACAATTTTGAAAATAAAATTCTTTACGTAGGTATCGCATATTTAACTTCAATTTTTGTCGTACCACGTGGTTTACTTTTTTGTTTTTCTATACGTTCACCACTCTTTAAAGCACGAACAACACTTGTGACAGACATTATTGTTAAAGAACTGCATTCTTATGACATTACTCACCGATATATTTGCATTCAGTGCTGAAATTCGTGATTGTTAAATTAAATGCGATCGTTTACAACTTCCCTGATTATCAGATTGACCACTAGCATCCACATACGACTCCATTTTTAACAACATTTATTAAAATAACTGAAATATGAAATAATAACATACATTTCCCACTTGTACGCTTATGACACGCATTGACATGCGTAGAAAGCTAAGACAGGGAGGAATTTCAAGAATTAAAATCACACAGTCTCAGATGTTTCTCTTTTTCTACAGGACAGACAAAATTATTTTGTAACCTGAGGGGTTATTTCTTTAATTATCTATCTACTGTTATGACCAATATCGTAACGAGTCTGGATTTCAAAAGAGTTTACTATTTAATTCTCGAAAGGGAGTTTATAATTATCATTACCTTTTAATTAACACGTGGGAACTTAGAAATGTTGTATGTTCAGTGAATGAATTTCAAGCACTTACCATCCATTGCTTACGTCGAATGTAATCCAGTGACTGGTTGTACAGGATGACACTAAAGTTGAGAGAAACAAAAGGAAACACCAAAACTTCAGGAAGGGTTTTAATAACAATAAACAAAACAAACACACAAAATAACGACACAACGGCTCGAACAACATTATTAATTTATCGCGACAGCGTACCGAGATACAGGGAATGTGAGATTCATAGCAAAATTTGGAAAAACTGTATCCATTATTAAATTTAATTAAGTAGCCCGAGACTCCAAAACTAAGTCGACTGCTCAATGTGGAACCTAAGGAAGAACTGACTTTTTCTCGTAGATCTTTCCTGAATTCGACACTTCGCTTCGACACGCCCATTTCTAGGGTCCAGACGTTTCTGTTCTTATCTTACTGGCGGGAACCCTGGATATCGGGACGCTTGGGCATAACTATGTCATGTTAATAGTTATCTAAATAATTTTGAGAATAACTTACAAATAACACTAGCCTTCTTCTAGTGACTCCGTGTAGCGGTACGGGACGCATTAGTCGATCTAATTTAATATATCCTTATAGCTTGGAAAATCCGCCAAAAAAACAGCTATTTCATTTATTACTTTCTTTTCCTCACAACATTCTAACAACTTATTCTTGGAATTCCTACGTTCTTTGGAATCCATTTCGCGCGTCATTTGAAATATCGATTCTTCTCTTTATACCTGCTCAACGCATGGCCCCGACTCTAAGTGAACTTGTTCAGAAAATATTGCTAAATTTCGTGAAGCCTTCCCCGAAGGACGGTCTTGGCGACGTTAAGCCTACTTGAAGACCATTAACTTGCCGATAAATTAGTGCTGACTGAAATATCTTACTTTTTGGCCCATCCGTTCCGAGAACCTACAAATAAATTACTACGCGTCCCGGCTTTTGTTACAATTTTATCCGATTAAGATAGTAATAATAAAAATTATTGTTTGATTTATTTATGGCTCTATTGCGTACTGGTTTGGCAGTGGAGTATAGAACAAATTTGTTGGAAATCCGTAGCAGGATATCTATCTAGCGACTTTCTTACGTAGTAGACGAGGCTTTAACCTCTAATTTTTCTTCCAGCATCTCCAGAACTTAGACCTCTACGCATCTACCGCATCCCCATCCACGCGCTGAGCCGCAACGTGAACCAGGACCACAGCTGCGTGACCAGCGGCTCCCCACCTACTTGGAAGTCGGCGGAAGCCAAATTGGCAGTGCCCGAACAGCCACGAGTGTCCAGGAGCGCCACCAGCTCCCCTGTGCCGCCCAAAGTCAAGCAGCTGCAGGGGACTGTTAAGTGATGATCGAGGAACTCTTCCTTTCTGCTATCGTAGTTAATCGCGTCTCGCAGGGTTGGTGGGAAGGAAATCATCGGATTGCGTGGAAGGAAAATTGATTGAATTTTAACGGTTTGGGTTTGGGTGTCGGTTTCTGAAATGAGACGGTAAAATCAAAATATTGTTCCAAGTTGTGTGTTTGGAGTATTACTTACTACAAAATATTTCTTCCTTGTACTGAGGCATGTACTGAGATAATTATTTCTTCTAAATTGATTAGTTAAGAGCTATCGCTGCAGATCTAGTCGACTGAGTTAATAATATAGAGTGTAACAGCGAACTTGCGATACATTTTAAGGGAATTTCCTCAGCCAAATCAACTAAAAGAACATGAGTAACTATTTTTTTCTAAAACGATTACTAAATGCTCTATGACCATTCAAAAATTGAATATGAAACGCAGTTTTTGGTAATTTATTCAAGAATTATAGAATTCATATTTGGTACAGTCCAAGTCTTTCCTAGTAGTGGCGTTGAAACCCAACCCAATAGGTTTAACCCAACTAGAGATCAACCAGAATATAGACACATAATAAAATTTGATTAATACCTTCCTCTAAAATACAAAAACATAATACACAAAACATATACACATATGCTTACTATTACCTAAGAAGTATCTATACATGCGTGTTTAGAGTTAAATAAATAAAAGAGTATTGGATATTACAATTATATGCTTTGAAAAATTAATTATCAAAATGCGGATTGAACTCATTGTTTAAGATGTTCCCAATATCACATTTTGCCTTAACCATATAATAAATACAGTAAGTAAGTAAGTAAGTAAGTAAATTACAAATTTCTTTACACCAAAATGTATTTTGAGTTTCAAACCAAGTCCATTTTATAGAAAATCTGCGTTAAAATGGGGAAAAGTCTGTTATTTGTCCATTAATTCATATTTAGGCAAACTGTGTAATAAAATCTATAAAAATGTATTGCTGGTTGCCTATTTGCTATAGAGCCCTTTTAAGAGAGGATTATATTCAATTCCTTTCCGGATATGCACCAATGGGTCTGAATGACAAAAATTATTTGGGACTTGTTCAATTCTTCACGTATTAATAGTATATAAAGGTGACTAGATTACACAGGTACATGTACTAATTTAGATCACATATACACAATTTTGTATATAGATTCCTAATATTTTACGGTAAACACCAAAGTCGTTGAAAATAGGTAATTATTCTGTATACGGTAAGGGTAAGCATATTTGTACAAAACCAAATTTAAATACGAAGTTAAAATTAGGGTTCTGATTATTTCATAGTTTAATTTTTATTTACTCATAAAAACCAGTTACTATTTTATATACGAGAATCCGACACAATGTCTTACAATTAATTATAGTTAGATACCTGCAATATGCGGCTTTAGAATACGTTCTTAAAAAAATGGTAATTGCCTTTTTATTTGTTTTAATAAAAGGAATTAGCCCTAAAAATGTATCGCAATGTCGCTATTACACTCTCTAAATGCATGATCAATGAAAAAAAAATTATTTGTCTAAGAATATAGTATACATAACCTTCGCTGATTCTAATCTCCAAATAAAATAAAAATGTAAATAAGTCATATGAAACAGGTTAAAGATTATCTACATATTTGGACAGCACTAGGGTTTCTGATTTCTCGGCCTACTTTTTTTCTCGGGTCTAGAGAATTCTCGACTAGGAATTCCCGGGAATTCTCGAGAAATTTCTAAAACTTAAAAAAGTCATAATTTTGGTATTGCAATGCGAAATATAAACATGCCATTATATTTAACAATCATCATTAACATTTATTATTTATTCAGTATTTTTATTAATTACTTATGTTGCTACTTCTACTAACAAAACTAAATTAAACTTTGAGTTTCTTCTTAAAAACCTTTAACTTGTTTTTTTATTAAACACTTTCAATATACTTATGTTTATTTCAATGTTTTTGAATCGTAGTTTTCTTCCAATAATAATTATTAATAATCATTAATCATGCAGTCTTTTAATTAAATAAATAGTAAATAAGGAATTTAACCGAAGAAATCTTAAAAAAAAAAAAGCTTTAATTTAAAGATACAGAAGCGTTCTTCCTATTAATTTATCACTTCAACATTAGGTATCTGCTTATAATAAAATTTCTACACAGACTTATAACTAGGTACAGGGTGATTCACTATATTTTGACCCCCCTTTAACTTTTTTGTTTTAAGAGTTATAAAAAAATGTGAAATACAAAAGTTGCACGATTTTTTATGAAATTTTCGAATATGATAGTAGAAAAACAAATGAAGTTCAAACAAAATGGCCGCGGATGTTAACTTTGTTAATTTAAATGGAACACCCTGTATATTTTTACACATTTGGATAGAACGTTCCCTGTCGAGCACAGTCATATATGGTTTGTTGGGTCCATCTCTAACAATAAGCGAGATAATATTAAAAAACGAAAAGAACGTTTTTTATTAAGAAAATAAAATATTTTGTAATTGTTGGACGTTTTTCGGGCATTTCTGCCTTTTTTCCAATTACGTAAGGATTTAGATTTATTTGCAATATATTTTGACATATCGAACATTGATATAGTCCAAAATGGGTATAAGTATTTTAACTAAATCGCACTAATTAGTCCGTGAGGGGCTTATTTACTCATGGACAATGTTATATGGTAGGCCGTGACAGTGACAGGTAATATTATGACAACATTGTTATTGTTTGACAGTTTGTATTATTATTTATTTAAAATGGGTTACACAGAAGTAGAAAATTTAAATATTATAGGAATTAAGATAGAGTAGTTAAGATATTCTCCATAGTTTATTTTAATTCCTAATAATATTTCAATTTTCTACTTCTGTGTAACCCATTTTAATTAAATACTAATACAAACTGTCAAACAATAACAATGTTATCATGACATTACTACCTGTCACTGTCACGACCTACCATATATATATATATAAGATTGTCCATGAGTAATTGGCCTCACACCGTCTAATTAGTGAGATTTACTTAAAATACCTACAACTAAATCTAAATCCTTACGTAATTGGAAAAATGGCAGAAATGCCTGAAAGAGGTCTAACAATTACAAGATGTCTTATTTTCTTAATAAACAAAACATCATTTCGTTTTTTAATATTATCTCGCCTATTATTAGAGATGGACCCAACAAACCCTATATAACTATGCTCGACAAGGAACGTTTTATCCAAATATGTAAAAATATACAGGGTGTTCCATTTAAATTAACAAAGTTAACATCCGCGGCCATTTTGTTTGAACTTCATTTGTTTTTCTACTGTCATTTTCAAAATATAGTGAATCACCCTGTACATTAAAAAATAAGAATCATCAAAGTAAACTAAAGCCTTAAAAACTTAAAACTTAATAGTTATTTGTCGAGAAACGAGTTGAACGCATGAACGAAACGAACTCCAGTCAAGAACTTAAGACGCGCGTGATTTTTAAATTTCTCGATTTCTCGACACTTTTTTCTCGAGTAAGGCCAGATTTCCCGGGAATTCTCGCTTCGAGAAGTCTCGACCAGAAACCCTAGACAGCACTAAAAAAATTGTTTGGGAAAATTACAGCTGTAGATGACAAGAAGATTTTTACTATCTATTTTTAGTCATCATGTACATCTTTATTACCAAAAATTATTATTGGAATGAGATAATAATAATGAAAATGTGTTACAAAATGTACAGTGTATGAATAGCAATACAATTTTCTAATATCGTTTAATGTTTTCCTTAATTGTATCAAAATTTCTATTGAGAAAGTATGTTTTAATGTTAAAACCATTTAATATATTTTATTATTCCTATTCAAGTCCGTATGAGATTTTTTAGAAAATGAGATGAGTAAAATGATTTGTTAAAATAAAAAAAATTAATAATTCTTTATTTCAAGACTGACAAGTATAAGATATGTCTTGAATCAAGTGATTTGATCAACACCTTTTGACTACTGTTTACGTGATATGAATTCACATAGTGTATCCCACGATTATGTCATGCAGAGGAAATACTGTTATTATTTGTAAATTTAGGAGAAACAGTGTATAATTTTTTGAAAAAATTAACCCTATCACAGCACTCTAACCTTCCGAAATATCAATAAAAAATATTGTTAGTAATAGGCTGTAAATATGACATTTCAATTGTTTTGAAAAAAAAATTATTACCTTATTTCATATCATTTAGATGGCTTGAGCACACGTATATTCTCTTAATTGTCACACTGTTTAACAAAAAGTAATTCATTCCATTGAATTCAGATCAGGACTTCTAAGAGGCCATAAAACTTTACACTGCAAATGATATTGTTTTCTAAATAGTTCTTACAGGGGTTATGATACCAAGAAGAATTTAAAAATTCATAATAATTTAACAGTACATTCACAATTTAATATCAGAACAGTAAAATGCAGTAAATTTTTATGAGCTCTCAGATGTACCGATCCGAATCCAATGGATTTCAATAAATTATAATTTGTTAGTCAGTTTCTGCCGAGGGGCGATCCGCTAAGGAAAAAACGTACGAAGATTACAAAATTTCTGAAATCTCTTGTAATGTATCTGCAGATTTCAATATCGATTAAAAAAAATTACAAATTTCATATAAATAATCAAGATTACAATATCTTTCAACCGATTACAAAACATTCCAGGAGATTTCAGAGTTATTTTAGTAGATTTCAATGATTATTTAAGATTTCAATAGGATTATTCGAAATTAAAAGATTTCAAAATTTCTTAATAATATTTCAAGGAATACGGGAAGATTACAATAAGTTTTGAATGTCCATTTGAACAAAAATAATTGAATTAACTTCAACTGTCATTCATTTCATTCATTAACAGTAGTGCTTTGATTAAGAATTTCCAGTATCATTTTTACGCAAAAATTGTAACATTCTGATTAAGTTTTTGTTCGAATGAACGTTAAAAACTTTTTGTCATGACAAAAATGATAACGCCATTTTGAAAGTAGGTAAGTATATATTTTTATTGAAAGATAAAAATATAATAATCCAATAAACTAATAAAAATAAAAAAATAGAAGTAACATAAAATAAACATTTTCCCAAAAAATAAATAATAAGAAATATTTTAAGCTTTTATTAACACTTGTATTTAATACTTTACCTGTATACAGTGTATTTAAAAAAGACGCGGCAATATTTAAGGGGGCGATTGCCCAGATCATTTTATAAAAAAAAGTTCCTATAAACATACGTCCGCAAACGCTTCGTTACCGATCTACAGAATGTTGAAATTTCATTAAAAAAACAGTAAAAATTAAATTTCTCCAAAACCTCTTGATATTATAATGAAATTTTAGGCCTGTCAATAGCTATGGCAGACGCGTACTTTGCAATACAAAACGATTTTTTAGTCTTACCAGTGACTAGCTATTTTTAATGAAAAAAATAGGACCCCGCTGGTTTTTCTAAAAATATAATTTTTTAATTCCTTGTTCAATTATGAAGAAGAAAGCTTTCCTCAGATTATACGCACCGTACGTCACACCGTTATTGAGTAAAAAAATAAAAAACATTTTATTGCGCACCTAAACCCAATGTTGTTTTAATTGAGAAATTTAAATTATTGAACAAAGAAATTCAAATTATCAAATTTGATTGATTTTTGAAATGTGGTACATACTGTTGTTTGTAGTAGGTAATAATAAGGGGCTGCGTTTTAGAGAA